AACTAGACAGTACATGTACTTGCATACTGAGGGTTAGCTCTTCTATTTGTCTTCCTAAAAGATTTATATATATTTAGACCTCCTCCTTGACTTTTTCATTAGCGTAGTAATATATAGCAACCAAACTCTCTAGTAGCCTATGTTACCTTGACCCTATGTCTGCCCTCCCCAGATGATTCACAGTGTGTCCTGGAAGTGTTATTTAGTTTGCACAAAGGACAGTCCTCACCGTCACAATTTGTGCATGGGGATAACTAAAACTGCACTACTACTTTTAAAATGGCGAGACAGTGTATGTGTATAACAGTTACACATGTGAGCACTGTCAAGGATGTTTTGAGTGTATTTGAATGCAAATTTTTTTCTTCAAAAATGTTTGGGTGCATGTGACCACATTTGTGAATAACCTAAGAGTGAAGGAGTGATGCTGATTTACTTAGTACTCTTATGTAATATATTGGTTGTGACCAAATAAGATTAAAAAGTTCTGACCTTGACAGATTGAATCAACGAAGCCTGGAGTTGCTGGAGCTAATGAAGGAGTCCTTGCAAACTTCTTCAATTCTCTTCTTAGTAAGAAAACTGGAACAAATGCCCCAGTACCTGGAGCCATAAAAACTAATGGTAAGTAGCTTAACATTTTTGTTAATGCAGAATTTTGTGAACTTTTTTTCCTATTTGTAGAAAATGGAACAAAACTGGACAGTTATAAAGATTTGTCTTGTAAAATATTGGCTGGCATGAAAGGCTTCCATAGTTTATTCTTAATGTTCCTCCATCTTTTGCTAACAGAGAAGGCTGCCATGCGATCAGATGCTGCTGCTGAGCTTGATCGTTTGACGCGATCCAAGAAGCCGACAGCAGCAAATAGTTCTCCAGAAACTAACAACTCCTCTGAATGTTGACTCCCAGTTGGCACCTCTACCGGCTGTGCTATGGAAAGGTGTTTTGGTGCCCCTGCCTGACAGTCTACACGTACAGTTTTGCTAAGAGAATGGAAACAACTTCATGGCGTGTAGCGTTCATGGTGTCGGGGTTGGCTGCCTGTCTGGTTGTTCCCTGTCAGAGAGGATCTGGCAAGGGATGTGAGACCTAATATGGGTAGCTTTTTCATTCCTTTGTATGATAAAATGCAATGTTAAGTCTACCTTTGAAAGGTACCATCTGGAAGGTATACAACTGTAGCAGCTATAAAAAAAACAACAAAAAAAAACGAATGTATAAAAGACTTAAAAAATACACAATACTATCCTCTGCTTGGAATAGCATGCTGCAACAGTGTGTGAATGGCATCCCTAAGTGTTTGTCACAACCACTTTATATAGTGGCTACATGATCAGCAGTGGATTAGTTCTGAAGTGACCAAACAACTGCAGCATCTTGACCCAAGGCTGATTGGCGCTGCATTACCCAGGCTGTGTACCAAGGGGCTAATACCTTTGCAAGAGAAGCAGGTGTTGCCCTCGGGACTGGAGGACTGGCAGAGCGTGTTGTGTCCTGTAACATATTTTCTTATTTATTTGTTAATTTTATAAACTCTTTGCTTCCATGCTGTTACTTTAGGGCTCCTATGCTTGTGACCCTCAAATGTTTTTAACTCGAGCTAATCACTTTGGGGCTTTAGTTATGACTCGGCAAATATAACACCAGTGAAACAGATTTGTGTGTAGTGAACCTAAAAAAAAAAAATTGAAAGAAAGCAGTCATTGATTGAAATTACACTGCTCAGGCATATGCAATGTATTATTTCTGATGGTGGTAGCTTGGATGTTATCTTACAGATAATATCTGTCCATCTGTGATTCATTCTTGATTAGCCTGTTGTTAATACTAAAGATGTCAAGATTACTTGGATTTTTACTTTTTCACTTTTTCCACAAATTTCTGTAGAATGAGAATTCAGGCTTCATACTATAAATTATGTGCAAAGCCATAAAAATCATTTGATACTTTCTGGCTATAAGACCTTTTTGTTCTGGCAGGTCAATTATCTGACTTACTGTGGCCAAGAAAACACAAAGGGCAAAAAGTTTCTAGAGCAGAATGGCAGCAATAGGGCTGTGAACAAAACCGCATCATGAATATTAACCACCTTACATTCTACATAGAAGAGTTCCTTCCCAGTGTGACCATTGCCCAGACATTGTGAACAAGCTACTCTAAGCTAGATACAAAGGATGATATTACTCGTGGGTCAATTAACCTCATCTTTTAGTCCAACATTTTCATCCTTAATGCCAAAGCTTAATAAAAGAAAAAAAAAAAATTGTTTCTTTGTGTGTATATATTATATAAATATATATATATATCTCATGGCTCTTAGTAATGTTCTGTCTCATCCTGAGAGTTCTCCCCAGACCTCCCCGTTCTCTTACTGAGTCATACCCTGATATTGTCTGCTTGGGCTGGAGAGAGGGATTAGTGTGTGTAAAGAGGGAAAGTAACGTTTTGTCTATTAGCAGCTTTAATGATTGGGGGATATTGTCTGCCTCAAATACACCAGTGAAAGCAAAGGAGTAAATGTTAGTATTACAACAGTTATTAGATTTACAATTTTTTGTATTAACTTTTTTTTTTTTCTTTTCTGTTTTTTTTTTGGACATAAATACTTGGGAAGTCTGTCTGTCTTTCTCTCTACCTGTCTCTCTCCTCTCTCTCCTCGCCCCTTGCCCCCCCCCTTCCCTGCCTCTTTTCTCTCTCTCTCTCTCTCTCTCTCTCTCTCTCTCTCTCTCTCTCTCTCTCTCTCTCTCTCTCTCTCTCTCTCTCTCTCTCTCTCTCTCTCTCTCTCTCTCTCCTCCCCCTCCCTCCTCTCTCCTCTCTATCCTTCCAATTTTCTGACAGGTTACCAGATGTAGGAATCTTCTCTGGCCAGTACCAGGGAGAGGAAGCACAATACAGAACTGGCTAGCAAGTGAAAAAAAAAAAAAAAAAAAAAAAAAACTTAATAATAATCAAATACATATGCATACTCAAGACAAGCTTTACTAAGAATGGTCCATGTCCACGTGCTTGTTAGTTTCGATAATCAACCAGGCAGTCCAGAATCACCTAATTCACATATCTCGGCAACAGTACTTCACAAAACACCAACTTTATAAAAAAGAAATAAATAATGGTCTCGTTAATTTTAATATTTTGTGAAACTAATACGAAAATATTTATTCCTTGCATGTAGTGAAGATTGCTATGTATGGTATATTCTTTGCTTGTTAGTTATATTGATTTCCAAGTTAAGAGAATGAAAGGGACATCAAATTTAACAGTGGATAGGTTTCAGCAACGTAATTGGGAAAGCCGTTATATTATTAGCAAGTAGATCGGGGCAAATTTCAGGTGCCACTGCAAATTTTTGTTACGAAATTGGACACACGTTTCTAAACTAGAGATGATTAACCTTATATAATGCTGCTGCCTGAGGAACTTGTCTAATTTTATTTAGGTGTTGCATAAAAACCTCTGAAGATCAGTCATTAAACTTTTGGAAGTTTCACTGTTTAAAGGTCTGTTTTGTTGCTAAGGTACTGCAGTGTTTATATGATTTTTTTATTTTTCAAAAAAAAGAAAAAGAAAGATTAGTTTAATCAAATTCCTTTGTATTATAGGATTATTTTCTCATTTCGCCATAGTAGAAAATTGTAAAAATATGGAAATATAAAATTTGTGATAACTTCTGACTTTGTTTGACTAAAACAATTCCCACATTGTTGCCGGTTCTACTAAGGCTGGGTCTGGAGATTTTGCAGCCCCTTGGAAAGTCTTATGCACACTCCATTTAGCCTCCGTTATTGATCAATTGCAGTAGCAACTAACAAATACTTTTTTTCCCTATCAGTGCTTCATGCAACAGTAGGTATAATAAATAGAATCTCAAGATCCCTTTGTTATAATATACACAAAGCAAAATTACATGTTGCTATACTAATTAGACTAACCAAATGCTGCATTATGTTCTATGCGAACTAGAAAGATGGTCAAGATGGACTCTTCCCTCTGCACTCCATTTACAGAATTTTAAATATTAAAAAAGGGAAACAAAATGCAGTTCAGGCCATAGAGACCAGATTACCAGATAACGTTATTTTTATACATAACCTGGTAAAATGAAGTTTTTCTGATAAAATATGAAGAACAAAACCTCAGGGATATAATCACACAACTGTTATCACATCATATGAGGGTCTTAAAAAGTCAGAGAAATGAAAGTCATGTCTGTATACAACAGGAGATTTGGAGGAAATACAGAATACATCAGATGACATTAATACCAATAAATTATAACAATATACGAAATTTCTCTAACAGCCTTAAGAAAGAGAGAGGTCTTTTAGACAGGAAATGAAGTAGAAAGGAGAATAATTTAAAAAAGGGGCGAGGTACAATATGAACAGAGAGAGGAACTGAAGTCAAATTAAACAGGAAATATAAAGGTATTATTCAGATAAAGATCTAACAACATAGAGGAGATATTGCGAAAGAATTTATGAGACAAATAACCTAACAAAATATGACAAGAAATTCTAAAGCCTGGAAATACGTCCTTTTGAAACAGCGCATGTCACAGACGAACCGAATGGGTAATGCATTGACAAAAGCAAGTATCTCGACACTAATGAAATCGATACAGCAAGCCACGGAAGAAATGACAGATGACATTAACATAAAGAAAAAAATATCCCGCTAAAAGAAAATAACAAAAAATGTTAAGAGAAAATAATCACAGTAAATGAAATAGAGAAGGAAAGCAGGGGTTATATTCATCAGATGAAATACTTTAAGAACCAATAACATCAAATAATTTGGATGTGAACCAAAGAAAAGGCAGCAAATACGCATGGCGTTTAGTGAGAAAAGAGACAAGAGAGAGAGAGAGAGAGAGAGAGAGAGAGAGAGAGAGAGAGAGAGAGAGAGAGAGAGAGAGAGAGAGAGAGAGAGAGAGAGAGAGAGAGAGAGTGAGAGAGAGAGAAAGAGAGAGAGAGAGAGAGAGAGAGAGAGAGAGAGAGAGAGAGTGAGAGAGAGAGAGAGAGAGAGAGAGAGAGAGAGAGAGAGAGAGAGAGAGAGAAAGAGAGAGAGAGAGAGAGAGTCTGAATACCATTTTTCTACACTGAGAAGCTTTTCCTATTATATGCACTTTTACCTATGATGTTATTTTTACTTTTGTTATTGAATTCCTGATAACGAAGCCGATATTTGCAGAATTTTTCTTTGTATCTGTGTACATTCCTTTTCCTGTTAATTTCTCCAAACCCTTAATTGTCTCGCTTTTAAATACTTATGGCCATGTTTCCCATGTTATCTATTATAATGTCAAACTTCTATTGCCATAATCATCATTACTACCACAGCTATCTTTATCTTTATCCTCCTTGCATACTCAACCCTCTTTCTTCGCGTTTACCATCAAGTATCATTCTCTTTCCCTTCAGTAATGTATCAAGTAATCAGCCTTTGCTTGCATTTGCAGTGTTTGCATGGAGAATTAATTAATAACACCTTGTCCAGCCATTGCTTTTTCCCCAAGCCGTTATCTTCAAGCCTCGACGGAAGCAGAGACGTAGCTAAGGGAGGAAAAGGGTGCCGTGTTACAGGGCGAATTTTCACCACCTCAATTAATGCCTGGCATGGGAGAAAACTCGGAAATTTATTAGAATAGATGAGTAAAATAAATAAAAAAAACATAGCTTAGGATGACTTGATATATAATTGTATTAATACGAATGCCTAACGGGTGACTGTATGAGTCTCCTGTCAGAGTAGAATAGGATAAAAAGAAGTGCAAGTTATTTTTCGTAAATTATTTAGTTTTACGAGTGTTTCCGAGCTCAAATAAGTAAATAATGTTTTAAAGTGGCTCCCCTTGGGACCTAGCCCCCAGAGGCCCTCAAATGCCTAGTTACGCCCCCGGACGAGAGATACAGACATTATAGACACTGATGTGCAATTCCAGGCAAAAATATATATTTATACATACATATATATATACATATACATACACACACACACACACACACATACACACACACACACATAAATGTATATATATGTATATATATGTATACATATGCATGTATATGTATAAGCATATGTTTATATACATAGAATCTCTCTCTCTCTCTCTCTCTCTCTCTCTCTCTCTCTCTCTCTCTCTCTCTCTCTCTCTCTCTCTCTCTCTCTATATATATATATATATATATATATATATGTATGTATGTATGTATATGCATATATATATATATATTTATATACATGTATATCTATCTATCTATGTATAAATACATTTATATACATATATTTTTATATATACATACATACATACATACATCTGTACATTGTGGGTTTTCTACCTTAGTATCAACACATAAATAGATGGATATGTAGACAGTCAGATCAGGGGATGGATTGACAGGTATAAAGAGAGACAGACTAAAATCAGAAATAACACTTTACAGGTAGAATTAAAGGCGAAAGCAGAGAAATGACACAAAGAGGTCAAAGCAGAAAAGTATATAGACCAAATTGTCTTGGTGTATTTTTTTTTTACATGATGCTCTTTTCATGACTGGAAATAACTTGAAGAAACTTGAAGAAAAAAAGGAATGAAAGATGTTGAAATTATACCAATGAAAATATGATACCAGCAACAAGTGTGTAGATTATGTAGTGTGAAAATTACATAATTTTGAATTGTGTATTCAGTAGCATCTAACACATGCGACGGTTATTTTATGTCCTATGGAGTTTTACGTGAATTTGCCCATATTTGCTGAAGGCTATTTGCCCAGATGATGACGTGCATACATTCATATATATTCGTATTTGAATACAGATACACACACATTTATATATTTATA